TAAGCTTTTAAGTCACTGGAAACACACTTGTCTCTAGGCTCCGATTAAACGCCTAAAATTGCTTGTCGGGCAGTCCTGTCAGCTTCTTCGTTTCACTTTATTCGGACGTGTGAGGGTACCCACAAACATTTAACTCTTCTTCCATGCCGATGAGCTTGGGACAGCTGGTATTTTAGTAACTTTTCAAAAGGATGTTTCGGAAAAATATGTTTTAATGAGTTTAGCGAGCTAAGGGAATCTGATCAAGGTTTTTGTGAAGGTAAGCTCGTTAAAAAATTTCACTGCACGGTATATAGCGTAGAGCTCAACTAAATATGTGCTACATACTGGGGGTAAACGGAAAAGAAAATTGTTTTCTAAGGAAACGATTGATGCCCCCACTCCGTCTTCGGACTTGAATGCATCTGTATAGATTTTATAGTAGTCGGGGTACTTTTCTAAGAGGGCTTCGAACTTTAGCCAAATAAGGGAATTGTTTGTACTGGATTTATCGAAATAGGCCAGAGATGTATCACAAATTGGTAAATCAATCAACCAAGGCTCAGGATATTTAATACCCCGAGAGAAAACATCCGGAAAATTAGTGTTTAGATTTTTGAAGTATGGATTTAATTATTTCGTAATATGGTTTTTTAGTATAGCGAATATCTTGGAATTTGTTTACATATTTATTTGTAACAGTATTGTGATATATTGGTTTTGAAATATTACAAGTATCTGAGGCTGCATGTGATAGGGCGAGGAACATGCGGCGATGATGTAGAGGTGGTTCTTCTAAAAGAGCATAAATGCTAAGTACCGGGAAAGTTGGATAAGCCCCTGTAATTAATCTAAGACTTTTATTATGAGTAAAATCTAATTATTTAAAAAGAGATTGATTAGCAGTGGAATAGATAGTTGCTCCATAATCTAGCTTAGAACGTATAAAGATTTATACAGAAGAAGTAGAGTGGATTGGTCTGAGCACCAGTTTTTGTTACAAAGAGATCTTAACACATTTAGTCTTTTATTACAGAAAAGGATGAGTTGTGAGATGTGATCTTTCCATGTAAGCTTTAAATCAAAGATTAATCCGAAGAATTTGTAATGATTTCTAAACTCCAGCTGTTTCTCATAGATTCTCAGGGTTGGGTGTTGTGGCAAGGAGCTTGAAGAGAATACAACTCCTATTGATTTTTCTATTAAAAATTGAAAACCTGTAAGGTGGGACCAATTTTCGAAAAAGTTTTAAAGAATTGGGACATTAAGGAGATATTTTTGGCTTTAATAGATACTAGATCGTCAGCGTATAAACGGCCTTGTAAAGGTGCTGGAATATTTTTGATTATATCATTTATTGCCACTAGAAATAATGTTGGACTGAGCACGGATCCTTGGGGTGTGCCATTTTCCAAACGATAAATATTTAAAAAAATATTACTTTTTTGAATTGAAAAAATTTGTTGTTTAAAAAGTTTTGGATGAAGATAAGGCAGTGACCTTGAATATTCCAGTTATGAAGTTGTCTCAAAATGTTGTACTTCCAAGATTTATTAAATGTACATTCTAAATAAAAAAATATAGCAACGCGTTTTTGGTTTGAAGCAAGTGCTTCATGTATTTCATTTTCCAAGTCTAAAATGTTGTCTGTGGTTGACCGATCTTTTCTAAAGTCATTTTACTCGCTGATTAAGAATTTGACATTTTCTTAAACCCATAAAAGCCTGGAGTTAACAATATTTTCTAGTAATTTGCATGCTGTCGATGTCAAAGATATGGGTCGGTATGAGTCTGGGTCATATTTAGGTTTGTCAGTTTTTAGGAGAGGAATGACTATGCGTATTATTGTTTTATAAAGTTTACACTTTGTTGCTCTTGACATACGTCGTGTCGCTCTTAGATGAGGACCTACGACAAAGTGTTGTTTTTGCATTACACCAGTAACACTAAGTAGCAAAATTCTTCCACAGTTTCTATAGTTTCATGTTGCACCTCTAAATTATTTTGTTGCATTCTTGATATAGCCGGCATATATTTAGGGGTCTAGTGTCAATCAGAAGTCCGATGTTTTCTGCGGCATGTTTGATACTTGTTAAAGCTTCAACTGTTTCATTTCGTGTTCTTCCATTGATCATATCATCAGCATATGCCATTTTTTTATACTACGGGTATATATCATAACCTTAAAGTTTATTCCCGAGTCTTTCATAACTTTTTTTAACGCAAGGTTGAGCGGCGTGCATGATGGCGCATCTCTCTGGTGCAGTTCTCTGTTGGTTTTAAATGGCTCTGAAACATCCCCTTATACCCTCATTTTACATTCAACTTTCTTTATTGAATTCTACAAATCTTTTGGTATTCCAGATTCGATCATAACTGAATATAATTGAGGTCTGTCAACAGTGTCGTATGCTGCCTTAAAGTCTGTCTTAAAGTATATAACGAAGATATAATGGCATTCTATGACTTATTCCGCCGTTTGTTCTAATATTTGTCTGATGGAGGATATGTGATCAATGGTAGATCTGTTTTTCAAAAACCCTTTTTGGTAGGCTGCCAGTAGGTTCGTTAAGTATCATGAACGAAATTTCGTATCCCGTATTAAGAAGGGAAATCCCTCTAAAGTTGGAACAATCAAGCACGTTGCCTTTTTTGTGTATAGGGCATATAATACCAGTATTTCAATCTTTTGGCAAAACGCCTTCTTGCTATAACTGTATTAATAGTTTATGAACAGTTACAAATGTTTTACCGCCACATTTAAACATTTCTGCGAGTAGGTTGTCTGCTCAAGGTGACTTATTTCTGGTTAGAGACTAAATCGCTTTATTTATTTCTTCCAAAGTTGGCAACTCACTTTTTTCCTGTTACAGTTACTTTACTGTTCTATATCATCTCTATCTTCAGCTTTACTTTCTACATTAAGTAACGTACTAAAGTGTTCCTTTTTCAGTACTTCTACTCTCTTGTTCAAAATAATTCGTGTAAGCGCTGCTGTCTGTCTGATGACATCATTAAGTTCCTGTACAAAATGTTAGAATGATCTCTGAGTTTGTGGGCTAATGCTTTACCGATGTAGTGATCTTCTCCTTTACAATATTGATCTTGACGTCAAGCGTTATAGAATTATGAGACCAACGTCCACTCTTATATGACTAATACCACATAATCCTAAGAATATATGGTATTCTGGTATATCAATATTAGACCTTGACGCAGTCCGCCACAGTTTAATACTTCAATAAAATTTAAGGTATTTAGTTGGAGACTCAATTGTTTTCATTTTGAACTTGACCTCTAAAAAACATATGTTTCTTCTTTCTACGGTGTACCTATTACCCATTTACATAATTATATAGATAGACACCGTTCTCTACGATTAGTGAAAGTAATCGGAGCTGAATTGGTCCCTCCTTTGATCTGCCTCCATTTTTTTTAATCAATGATTGTGAATATTGTTGAGATTTACCTGAAATTTGCGTTTTGCAATAAATGGAACGCGTATGATGTTACAATCGCTGTGTATCCTTATCACTCAACAGCATATACGATGTAGATATATCTTGGGGTGATGATAGATCCATTGTGAATATCAGAGATAATACTGACCCAAGAATACTTTTGGGGAACCAGCGTGTTACTCGAAATATTATGGTCAATACGCTGAATAAACTGTTGCTGTACAATTCAGTACTATAATTATTTTGTGTATGTTGGCAACACATTTTCTTTTATTGATGACTGATGACTTACTTGTCACCAGTCACTGTATACTTTACGCTTGTGCTTGTAAAACAATAAAAGTTATTTCGTTTCTAATTAATTATAATAATAGTGATATTATTATTAACCTGCGTAAACATAAACTGTCTAAAATTGTTGTGCGAAACTTTTATAAGTAATACTTTTTAATATATTGCTCAAAAAGTAAATGGGCCAATCCCGAAAGTCGAAAGATAATTTATTAAAAATAGTTTGTACTTTATATGTTATTAAATAAAATTCATAAATTCTTAATACGGATCTGTTTATTTATTTTTATGTTAGGTATAATGGTTTATACCAAATTATGTAAATTTCTTAATAGAATTATAAATTCTTCTTCAATAAACAAACCTATTTTGATTTTATGTATAAAGTGTTGATTTTATCAGCTTTAAATTATTTCAAACACGCTTGCAACCGCGAACTCTCTGTCATCTTTCCTGATATCGTCATACTAATAAAGTTTATCAATGTCTTATCCATAATTCAATTACATAAAGATGACTGTATTTACATAACGTATAAGCAAACATATATAAAATATGTAAAGGGTGTCCTCCTTAAAATTATATTATTAAAACAATGCACTTGATTTTCAATGATTTAATACTCTATTGAAAAATAAAAACGTTAACCTTACAAGTGTAGAAGAAATAAGTGACCTAAATCACCTAAATTTATTAAAGCTGCATGGATGGTCGATATACATAATTAAGAAAACTGTCTACACTTTAGACAAATTAGACATTTCTATTTTTATAATGATAAATAGAGAATGCCAACCATAAACGTTACCATATATTAAAAAAACAACATATAGATCTACAGATCTCAAAATTGGTCGCATTTCATAGACAGTTCACGTAGAAATGCTTTATCACTATTCCTTACCAGCAACAAAAAAACGGATAACCCTATGAAATTAAATAATTAAAACATTCTACTATAAGATTACTAGAAGACCACTGAGGAAAAATAATAAAATTTTTATAATATGTAGCTGGAAATTCGAAGATATAAAAAGTAATGTATTACTGGTGGTCTAATATACGATCAAATGAATTGTTGAAATTGGTTGAATTGATGAATTGGATTATAAAATTGTATTCTTAAATACATAAATTTATTAAAATTCAACACAAAATAATCGTTTTTTTATTGCTTTGCATCTGACTAATTATGGTTGTTCTTCCTCAGAAAGTTATTTTGGAGGTTATTTTTCCTTTCAAATCAAATCAAAACAATTCCTAACCTAACAAAGTAACATAAATGAAATACAGATAAATTTACTGTTATAAAATAAACATTAGTTTTATAGAAATGAATGCTAACAATTATGTTTTCTCTTTTAATTTCAAAGCAAAAATGGAAGAAACCAGACGTAAACGGGAAATGAAAATGGCTGTTTGTTCATATCTGCAAAGGAGAAATTATAACGCTCCCGCCACTTTTTTAGCTACAAGAAAACAGCAAAGAATATATTCATCAATTCACACTGCCATAGGAAGATCTAATTCAATTCTACCTATTTGTGATTCATCAGTTATTGATCCAGTAATAATAGATCAAAATTTTACAAAACTTCTTATGTGGTTAAGAGAACAAACCAAATTTAAGAATAGGTTTCATGACATAGAGTACATTATAGCACCATTATTTTGTCATATTTTCACAGAGTTCCTGCGCTTTGAACATACAGATAAAGCAGCCACATTCTTTAAGTGTCATTTTCCTTCCATAAATGAAAATAAATGTGACAATACCATAAAAGAACTTATATTATGTAATGGAGAATTTAAGCCCAAGGATGCAGAAGTATCTAAGTTTAAGGAAAAGTTTAAAAAAAATAGGATAGTGATAAAGTTGAGTCCAGAGTCTTTCAAAAGTTTAAAGAAGTTTGTATATGACAATTGCCATATAGTGTTTGTTCAAGTATTACACACATATTTTGATTTTCAAGTTGTAGTTTGTCCAACAAAGTTTGAAGAAAGAACCATGTATTTGTCTGAGAAGCCTAAAGAGAATAAATGTCAAAAAATGTTTAATGTTATAAAGGAACTGAATAAGCTACCTCCACCAGTTTGTAAATTAAGCATATCTAATAATAATTATCAAGTTTCATGTGGCATAATAAAACGACAAAGTGGAATAGTTATTTTTGGAGAAAGCAATGTGTTACGTATAATGCCTATACATTCCTTTGATTCCATTTTAAATCTAGATAGTACAAATCAGATCACTTTCACTCATCATTCTAACTATATATGTGCTGTAGATATTTCTAGGGATAATTCAACATTGGTAACAACATCTGCGGATAACACTTTGTGTATATATGATCTAACAGATTTTAGATTAGTCAGAAAATGTCTAGGCCATGTAAATCCAGTATACTGTGTGAAAATTAGTAATAATGGAACATATGTAGCCACAGGTAGTGGAGATACTACTGCAAGACTTTGGGATATTAGCACTGGAAGACAACTGAGAGTCTACTGTGGCCACAGTCAAAGTGTTACTTGTGTTACATTTCATCCAAATTGTTTGTATTTGGCTACAGGTTCTGCTGATAAAAATATAAGACTTTGGTGTGTAAATAAAGCTGTCTGTGTGAGACTTATGCATGCAAGTAAGGGAACTATTAATCATCTAGCCTTTGGTCCCTGTGGTAAACTTCTAGCCTGTGCAAGTGAGGATAAGAACATCAAGATATTTGAAGTGCTGACTTCAAAAATAATTGCAGAACTAAGGTGTAAAGAATTTCATATTGTAAAAGTTGTTTGGAATAAAACTGGCAGTGAAATTTGTGCTGGGACATTAGAGGGAGTAGTTAAGGTATGGAATGTAGCTAGGTTAAAAGAAAACTGTGACAATAATAAATATATTGAGTCTATGGTGACTTATCCAATACACTCAAATTTGTTAGACATTGAATATGCATTTGGTACATATGCAGTTTTAACAATTGATAAACAAGATTCTTATGTATAACTTTTTTTAATTATATCCTTTTTATATATTTCTTTTTATGTTTTATTTTTATTTCTAATTATGGTTGTTTTAACAATTGATCAAAAGATTTTTAAATTTTACAAAATCTGACCTCTAAATGATGATATGAGTCAAAGGTGACTCGTAATTATTAAAACACACAAATAATTCATAATGAATTAATAAAGTAAGATCATTACTGATGCATAATAAATTTGTTTTGTTTTATTTTATTTACCTTCACATTTGTAAATCAATGTGAACTTCTCAAAAGGTTGCCTATAGAAATGTCATACAGATATATTAGTTTTGTAAAGAAGTATCACAAATAATTTTAAATGTCGAAGACATTTTTTGACCTCATGTAGTATATGACATCATTGTTGAAACAGAGCTTTGGATTCATATTTCATCATAAATAAACAAACTAAAAGACTTAAAATTCACAAAACACAATAACATGGCATCACAAAAAGAAACAAAATCTAATTGTACAAAAACGAACTATCAAATATCACTGAAGCGGTTAAACAGGAATTCTAAATAAGGGAAAACCCATATACATATATAGATAACTAAAAAAAACAATTTTATCTGAACCAATACTACATTGCAATATCATACTCGCAGAAGAATAGTGTCAAAACACTGCCACCGTATTTTACCACATTTGAATAGAAAAAAGGACAAAAAATAATGAGGAATGATTCCTATAGTCAAAATCTCCATTTTTTTAACTTATGACATTATTCTTCTGAGTGTGTGGTATGTCCTATACTTTCTTAGTGATCATCAATTATACTAATATATGTGTGGTAAGTGGTAATTGTTATTCTTTCTGAACCATTGACTCAAACCTGACAACCAAAGGTTGGGATGGTTCATACATGTGTGAAATTATTCAAGAACTAGAGGCACAGAACAGAAATAGATGGAAATATCTTGAGGAGGCCTATGTTCAATAATGGACAAATCAGGTCTGATTTATGATGAAGTCTAAGACAGAAAAGTTGTTTCACAGGAACTAAGCCGAAGTTGAGTCTTAGGCTTCTGTAATTTGTGCCTCCAACATGGTCCGTTGTTTTCAAATTCTAATACCCATCAAGCTTTCTGATTAACACCTTATATGTTCGGTGCCTTCTCTTTTTGTCTTCTACCATACATTCTACTATCTAGAGCTTTTCTTGGCAATATGTTATCCATCCTCACTGTGACCAAACTATCGAAGTCTAAGCAAGCTAGTGAATTCCAAGGTAGGTGTTTTCTTTGTACAGTTCATAGTTTTATGTGAATCTCCATATCTCATTTTTGTTGATTCGTCCATTTAATTTTCTAACATCACTCATATCATCCAAAAACCGTTAAAAAGTTATTAAAGTGGAAGAGGTATCACAGTCAAAAATGGTCTAAAAACAACTTTTTTTTTTTAATTGATGAAAAAATAATAATAATTATCACTACAGCTGTTACGGCAGAGTGCCCTTCTCAAGTGAGCTATTTTGTTATGCGTACAATCTCTGTCGAAACAGCTGTAGTGATAATTAATTCATTTAATCACCGTGAAACTCTAAAGGATTATCTTATATGTACGTTGTATTAGTCATATTGTCACGCTTGTTACAAAAAGCTTAGTTTTGTTGATAAATACCGCATGGTAACACATATTTTCGGGTTAGCTACAATTCGTGATATTTTCTTTGTGTTTAAATTTATTAAGTAAGGTAAAATCTAATTTTAAAATTATTTTATAGGTATTTAATTGTTAGTTTTTATATGTATGTACAAAAACATAAAAAATATTAGATACTTCATATAGTTTCATACAAAAAACCATGTGTTATTATACTTAATCGAACATGGTGACTCAAAGGGTATTTAATTTTCAGATTTCATTCTTCGAAAACATGTCTAGAAAGCCACTAACTGATGCTAAACTCCTTGATATTATCAATAATATGTCCGATATGGAAGTTATGAGCGATGGTGAGGAAGATGATGAATTACAGATGTCACAGGATACCTCCACAGGGTAGAGTATTACCCGGGGCATTTTTGCCACTCATAACTGCCTCGATGACTTCCACAGGGTAAAGCCATTGTAATGGTCTCGGAAGTTGGCCTTGTGCAGTCGCAAGACGAACTAAATGTACCTGGTCATCCCTACCAGCTATAAGTTCAATAACTTTTCCTAAAGGCAACTGAAGACGCTTGATGTTGTCATTGCCCATTGAACAATTTATGTCGTTCAGAATTGCGTCTACCGCCCAATAATGCATGTACAATATTTTCCGTCCGCTTAGCAGAAAAACCCATTTCTTCGTCTACAGACGAAGAAATCGAAATATTTTATGACGATGTATCTACTGCTATTAATGATTCTCGTACTCAATTTACAATTTTATGTGGCGATTTCAACGCAAAAATAGGTGTAAAAGAAGCAGAGCTAGAAACATCCTTGGGAAAATTTGGTTCCCCAGGAAGAAATGACAGAGGAGAAACGCTACTAGGATTCCTACTCCAGAATAATTTATTCAACATAAACAGTTTCTTTTACAAAAAAATGCACAGAAGATGGACCTGGGAAAGTTCAAACGATAGAACAAGGAACGAAATCGACTACATCATAAGTGACAAAAAACAAATAATTAAAGATGTAACAGTACTTAACAAGTTCACCAAAGCAGTGACCACAGAATGATACGAACGAAAGTCTAAATCAACAGAAAAAGAGAAAGAAACATAATGATTTAAAATAAATCTCATGGTATCTGGACACCCTCATTAGATATCAACCAATATCAGGTACATATCAATAATAACTTTGAAAAATTAAAGGCAAATATCGAGCACAATTTTAATAATCAAATCTTGTCCAAGTACTTTCGCTTTCTACAGCATCATCAGGGGCATTTCGTCAAATTTGGGCTATCCAACAAGCGCAGAATATAATAAACATGAAATTGTACATAAAACTACACTAAAACAAGGACAAACAGTTTAAAATTATTTAAAAATTATTCTACGCTCTACATTTTTGTCGGCAACAGGAGAGAGAATGGTATTTAACATAACAGGTTGTTTTAGTGAAACTCCGCCGTTGCCTGGTCCCAAGTCCAGGATGAGAAAGGAGGAGGGTTAAGCAAGGGACTAACTATTCCTTCTTGTAAAAAAACATAGTTATGAAAACGAAGCACATGCCTCGGATAAGGACGGATCTTTTAAGACGACAAAAGCGACGACAAAGGACAATGAATATAGAAACCTGGAACGTACTAAGCCTATATCGGCCTGGAGCCCTAACTCAGGTGGTCAAAGAACTTGAATCCAGAAACATGGACATAACTGCTCTACAAGAGATTAGATGGACTGGAGAAGGTACACTAAAAACTAATAAATCAGTAGTATTTTTCAGCGGAAGCGAACGAGAACATCAATTCGGAACTGGTTTTATAGTCAGGGAAAGTCTTGTGGGGTCAGTTTTAACTTTCAAACCCGTCAATGAAAGACTTTGTTATATCAGAATCAAAGAACAACTACATAACTATTCCCTAGTTGCTGCCTATGCACCGACAGAGGAAAAGGAAGAGCATGTAAAAGATAACTTCTACGAGAAACTAGAGGAACTGATAAATAATTTACCTAAACAGGACATGCATATTATCTTAGGAGATTTCAATGCAAAGATTGGGAAGGAAGCAGCGTACAAACCAACAATAGGTAACCATAGTCTTCACGATGTTAGCAACGATAATGGAACAAGGCTAATAGACTTTGCAGCATCCCACAATCTACTAATAAAATCGACAATGTTTGAACACAAGAATATACACAAACAAACATGGGTTTCCAACGACGGCGTCACAAGAAATCAGATTGATCATGTTCTAGTAGATGCCAGGAGGGGTAGTAACTGTCTAGACGTAAGAAGCCTAAGAGGAGCTGATGGAGACACGGATCATTTAATTGTAAAAGCGAAGATAAGGACAAGAATAGCGTCCAAAAAAACACACAAGAATACACCAACACAATTATGGAATACCGAAGTTCTACGTAATAAGGAGACAGAACAGAAATTTCAAAAGGCTATAAAAATCGCTCTAGCACAGACAGAAAACTATAACAACATAGACTCAGCTTGGAAAAATATCAAAGTAGCTCTCACAAGCGTATCAGATGAAATACTAGGACACAAAAAGAAAACAACAAAAAAATGGTTCGATGATGATTGCCTGAACTCCATATTAGCAAGAAATATGGCTAGAAGGAACATGCTACAAAGCCCCTCGCACAACAACAATGAAATGTATAGACAAAGAAGAACAGAGACAAGAAAACTAATGAAAAGGAAGAAAAAAGAGTATCAGGAACAAATAATCAGAGAAATAGAAGAAAAAAGAAAGAACAAACAAGCGAGGCAGTTCTTTAAAGGAGTTTCAGATATCAAGACCGGGTACCAAGCAAGAACAGGAAACTTTCTTCAAAACGACAGTGGACAGCTTATCACTGATGACAAGGAAATCTTAAAAACCTGGAAGGAATACTTCTATCAACTATTGAATGACCAATCTAGCAGAAGTACATCAAACATAGAGGTACATACAGCTGAAATAGAAGACCAATACCCGACATACGAAGAAGTAATACAGGCAATTAAAAAACTCAAAAATAATAAGACACCAGGTAGCGATGGTATACCCGCAGAGTGCTTAAAACATGGAGGAGAAGCATTGTACAGTTCGATATACAAGCTAATTCAAGACATTTGGCAAGAAGAAACAATGCCAGATGAATGGAAAGAAGGGGTTATTGTACCAATACACAAAAAAGGAAACAAAAAGCAATGTATTAACTACAGGGGAATAACACTCCTAAACACCACCTACAAAATCCTTGCAAACATCCTGCTAGAAAGAACCAAAACATACACAGAAGAAATTGTTGGAGATTATCAATGCGGATTTAGACCGGGCCGCTCTAGAATTGACCAGATATTCACAATAAAACAGATAATGGAAAAATGCTGGG